CTGTCCCCTTCATGTGGCTCTGGCCACATGGGTCTTCACTCTCGTTCTACAGCATTTCAAGCCTGTTCCTTTGTGCTGGTTCTTCCTTACGACTGGCCATACAGCTGGGATGCTTTTCCTTCAGATCTTTATCTAACCTGTTCCTTCTCAGCATTCAAATTTCTCCTTTTGTTGATCTTTTGTTGGCTTATTTCTAGTTTGGGCTTTTAAAAATAAAGCCTCTATGAATATTCTCACACAAGTCTTTATATGGAGAAATGTTTTCACTTTTCTCGTTAATGCCCAGGATCGACTTGCTGAGTCATAGGATAGATAAAAGCTTAACTTAAAAGAAATTGCCACACAATTCTCTAAGGTGGTGATAGCAGTGAGACATCCTTGTAATAAAGGTGGGAATAAGGGTAGCATTTGAGGGTAGTCTGGCACAGCCAGAGACATTTTTGGGAGTTTTATTCACCTGGGTTTCCATCTGGGTTTTGGTGTTTACAATTTGTGTGCTGAGTGGGGTAAGTTATTTCCAAGACTTGGTATTACCTGTAGAAAAGGAGTGATAATGAAATCGTGTATATAAATATGTAGTATTCTACCTCAACTTTTCGTACCATGGAGGGACAGTAATGTAAGCTATAATGGGTACATCATCTGTAAGAAATTTAAAGGCAACTTAAAGTCTGTTGGTTTTTAGCATCAGTATGTACCTGCATTTCTGAGCAATGTTAGTAGTAAAATACACCTCCCTGCCTCCACCTCTATGCTGTGTAGTCAATTCTAGGGACTTATAATAAATAGTTATTGTAATCAGTATTTAATAAAGTGGAGTAGGAACTAAAGTCTAGGTTGTAATTTGGAACTTAAAGTAGATTTGGAGTTTTTATTGCGGGTACTTTGCCTATATGCTTCCTGTTTCCTCCAGTTCCCTGGTGTGCAAGGCTCACCTTACATAGAAACATTTTCATCTCTAAACAGTCCCTCTTCTTGACTCCTCAAGTTTTTTTCTTCCCTTTTTTTTCTAACCATTATTTAACTGATGTCATAAGCTTGTTTTCTTCCTTGTATTCTTCAACATGAATATAGATTGTATACAGATAGGCAAGCCAGGCTCATTTACCAAAGCCAAGTCACTCTTTTTAGATACTGTTTGTTGTAAAGTAAGCTCCAAAATATGTGCTCTAGCTTGTAAAGTCCTCTATAATTTTTAGCAGTACTAGGGTTTGAACTTGGGAGCCACTATTAATATTTTTATAGTAGTTATTTTGTATTTTCTGTAGAGTTCTGAACATGCTATACTTTCTCCAACTTACCTTCTTCTGAGATATTTTTTACTATGTAAAAAATAATCATAAGTGCCATATTTGTCCACTGTGGTCCTGACTTCTGCACTTTGAATAGGTTAGGAATTTGAGGACAAATTCAGTCATTCTGGAAGAGTTAATGCATTTCTCAGATAGTACTTTGAGAGCCTGAGCTATTGTGTTAAAATCCTGTATCTTGTCTCTGTTACCTGCTTCACCGTAAGCAAGCTGCTGAACCTTTCTGAGCATTACTTTTCTGTTCCTAAAAATGAGTAATATCTGTCCCTTAAGTGAGGCAGTGGATGTAAAGTGTCAGGTTAATTACCACAAATTTAATGACTTAAAACAACACAAAACTATTATCTCATAGCTCTGTATATCAGAAGTCTGATACAGGTCTCACCTGACTAACATCCAAGTATTGGCAAGGCTGTGTTCCTTCAGGAGGCTGTAGAGGGGAATGTTTTCTTATTAGTACCAGTTTCTAGAGAGTGCTACATTTTTTGGGTCTAGTCTCTTTCACATATTGATCTCTCTTATTCTCTGCAGCCAGGAGAGGATTCATGTGATTAGATTGGGCACACCCAGATAATCCAGGACAATCTCACCATCTCACAGTCCTTAATCTTAATCATATGTATAAAGTTCCTTTTGCCACCTAAAATAACATAATCACAAGTTTCAGAGAATTATGACAAGAAATCTGCTTGGGGCATTATTCTGCCTACCCCAGGTGCTCAGCTTAGTCCTATGCCTGGCTCTTCATTAGCACTCAGTAAGTGGCAGTCATTCAAGGACCTTGGTGCTCTGGGAGATTCCAAAGTGATGCTCTGACTTCCAGGCACAAGTAATTTACAGGCTGGTGCAAAAATGAGAAGGAAGACTAAGCACAGAAATGACTAACTCAGAAAGAGTGACCATAGCTATTTGTGGGGTGTCAACCAAGTACATGGCAAGGCAAGAGGCCTCAGGTCAGCAAGTAACCTGACAGGTATTTTTGTTTTGTTTTGTAGTAGGACTGGTTTTTTTGTTTGTTTGTTTTTTCAGTACTGGAGTTTGAACTCAGGGCCTTCACTTTGAGCCACTCCACCAGCACTTTTTTTGTGTGTGTTTGATGGGTTTTTTCCAGATAGGGTCTCAGAAACTTTTTGTGCAGGGCTGGCTTTGAACCTTGATCCTCCTGATCTCTGCCTTCTGAGTAGCTAGGATTACAGGCTTGCACCACCGGCACCCAGCTGGGACTGGGGTTTGAGCTCAGGGCTTTGTGCTTTTAAAACAGGTGCTCTACCGCTTGAGCTATGCCTCCAGTCCACTTTTCTCTAGTTATTTTGGAGATGGGGTCTTGAGAACTGTTTGCTCAGGCTGGCCTCAAATAATAATCCTCCCTGTCTCAGCCTCCCAAGTAGCTAGGATTATAGGTGTGATCCACCAGTGCCTGCAGGTTCAACCAAAAAATGTCACTCGTGTATACAAGTGGAGAACATGGGAAGAAATAAGTTTCAACTCAGATGAGTGTGTGTGTGTGTGTGTGTGTGTGTGTGTGTGTTTGGTTTTAGGGCTCCAACCCTGGTCCTTGTGCATGCTAAGCAAGCTCTCTTCCACTGTGCTGCATTCCCAGACCTCAGATGAGAATCTTTACAGGACAAGGGGAAAGAGAGAAGGAGAAAGCAAAGGAACAGCCTTTTCTGACTTGACACTTAGTAAATTAGACTTGTCCATATCTCTCAATTCTTCCCACTAGTCCACTGGACTTGTTTGGTTAGTTAAGCAACACATACATGGTAGGCACTGTGCCTAACCTTGGGAATGCAGTCAACATAATCCACAAACTCTGCTTTCTATCTGGTGAAAGAAAACAACCACATCAACACAGAGCCATAATGCAGTATGGCAGTAGGAACCTACAGGAAGGGTTACCTCCCTCCCAAATTCATAGGGCAGGGAAGGTATCTTGAAGGAAGTACCTGCAAACTGATACCTGAAGAATGAATTGGAATTGTTAGGATGCTTTGGACCACAAGTAACAACCCAGCTCAAATTGCCTTCAACAGTAAAGAACTGATTGGCTCGCTTAACTGGAATGGCAGAAGTAGGTGTCAGAGTTCGTTACTCTGGTTAGTTTGGCTCCATTTTCTATGATTTCCTTGGCAAAGCTCTCCTCTGTGTGTTCATTCCACCCTCAGGCTAGATAGTGTTCCTCATGGTAGCAAAATGTGAGCAGCAATTCTATGAGTCAGTCACATCAGTATCCCCAGAGGAAGAAAGGCAACTCTTCCATAGACTCTCTCCTAAGAATGTGAAAACTCCTTTTCTAGAAGCTTCCAGCACCTGTTCCCTCTTGCATCTGATAGGGGTCACAGGGTCATTTCAGAGCCCATTCCTGTGGCCAAGTGAGTGCCATATACCATTTGTTTTAGGCCTGTGTTACTGAACCTATCCCTATGGCAAGGACATTGGATTTGTGCTTCCTGGAATACATGGTCTGATTTAGGGCAGGAGGATAATAATTAAATGTAAATCAAGGTGCTGTTAGAAAGGAGGGAAGGTGAAGGGACAAAAAGAACAGTATGTAGGAATGTCTCTCTTTCTACCCTGTAGGACCTTCATATCCTCCGCTTACTTGTGGGTTGCCTGGCCTCCCCGTGATTTCTCTCTGCATGCTTTCAACTTTAGCATCTACTGTTTGTTGTTGTTTTTTACTGCACCTGTGAAATTGCATAGAAATTTTTTGTTTTTGTTTTTGTTTTTTTTTTTTTTTTTGGTTGTTCTGAGGTTTGAACCCAGGGCCTCATGCTTGCTAGGCAGGGTCTGACATATGAGTTGCTCCACCAGCCTTGTTGTTGTTGTTTTTTTTTTTTTTTTTTTTTAGCATCTATTATTAACTGCCTCAGTCTCTCTGTGTTTCTTAATTCAAATTCCAGGATCAAGACTAGTCTAATTTGCCTTTCTGCACCAAGCTCTCTACCTTTCTGAAGTAAGCTTCAGAAGACCAGGGGCTTTATTTTTCACCTGATGCACCCAGCATATGAACATTACCTAGCACTCAGTAAGTGCTTGGCAAGCACATGCAGGATGAATGGAAGACGATCCTTCTAGTTACTTGGCTGCCCTTGGGTAACATGCTCCTGAGCAAATTTTCTATGGCTAAGGGTCTTGTCCTCTGAAGGAACTATTGATATGCCCCTTCTAGTGGATCTCATTTCTACTACTTACTACTGTGTGAATTTCAGTTGACTTTTCTGCAAAATAGGATTGATAATACCTACCTTTCATAGCTCAGGTACCCAGTGCCAAGTGAGATTGCAAATATGAGAACACTTTATGTTTAGTGAGATGCGAGGCAGGTTAATCAGTTCTGACACCTCACACGTCTGGCAAATACTGAAGATGGAGAGACTGAGTTTTTGTTTTGTTTTGATGTGACTGGGGTTTGAACTCAAAGCTTCACACTTTCAAACAGGTGCTCTACCACTTGAGCCATATCTCCAGTCCATTTTGCTCTGATTATTTTGGAAATGGGGGCCTCATGAGCTGTTTGCTTGGGCTGGCCTCAAACCACAATCCTCCCAAGTAATTAGGATTACAGGCATAAGCCACTGGCATCTGATGTGGAGAGGCTGCTTACCTGTTCATTCCACTTTTCAGTGTTAAGCTCCCCATGAGACTGTCTAACCAGCTCTCTGTATCCCTTTCTATTTGCTCCCCCAGGGTCACTCAGGATGTGTCAACTGTCTGGAGTGGAATGAGAAAGGAGAGTAAGTATGAGCTAGAAGGTGCTGGAGAAGGGGGTGAGGAAGTTGAAAGAAGAGTTCCTTCTTCACAGTAGACCTAACGAAAAGAGTAGATCCACATAAAAACAGACAGCTGCTCTCTCCTCTACTGTCAGCACACAGTTAAACTGTTTACCCAGGTAGATGGAAGGCTGGATGACTATTCAAACTGTGTTTTTATAATAAACCAATGTGTTCAAGAAATAATGGGAAAAAGTCTTAGGATAAAGTAGAAGAGAATCTACTTAATGTTTACAAGATAACCTTAAATTCTATGACATCTACTCCTCAAGTTCTTGTGGACCAACTTATTATCAGCTGGGAATGTGGGAGATTGGGTGGGGGCCTGGGAACTTGAGGACAAGTCCGAGCCCCCAACTCCACCCACAGCTTGCTGGCCTCTGGTTCCGATGACCAACACACGATTGTGTGGGATCCCCTGCACCACAAGAAGCTGCTGTCCATGCACACGGGGCACACTGCAAATATCTTCTCTGTCAAGGTGAGCAGGACAAACCAAAGAGCAAGTGAAAGGCATGACTGGGCTGTGGGCATAGTAGTATTGGTATGTTTTGTCCCAGGTAGCCCCTGGGGTCACAGATACTTCTGTTGTTTGAGTGTCTGATGGTGATGCTTGAAACCCCATCCCTTTTCCATGTTCTTGTTCCTCTCAGAGCCAAGAGTCCAACTTGAGGTAGATTTATGTTTATGTGAGCAGTGACAGAGGGTAGTTCTGAGCATGCACCCCAGAAGCAGGGCTTCTGCCTCTTGGAAGTTGTGCAAATAGGCAAATCACCTGACCTCTCTGAGCCTGTTTCCTCCTCTTTAAAAGAAAGTAGCTAAGGAAAATCTCCTTATGAACAAATAGAATAGATAAGTCATTTAATTAAAAATGAGGAGATAAAAGGAAGTAGCAAGCCACAGGGTTAATGTTACAGTTCAATTATATAATTGATATGTATATTTTTTGGAGTAGTACTGGGTTTTAAACTTGGTCTTGCACTGGCTAAGTAGGCGCTTTACCATTTGAGTCATGCCCCCAGCCCTTTTTGAGTTAGGTATTTTTTAATAGGGTCTCCTATTTATGCCCAGGCTTGCCTGGATACGATCTGCTATTGACACTTCCTGTGTAACTGGGATGACAGGTGTGTACCACCACGCCCAGCTTTTATTGGTTGAGATGGGGGTCTCCTGAACTTTTTGCTCTGACTGCCCTTGAACCATGGTCCTCCTGATCGCTACCTCCCAAGCAGTATGTAATTGATTTTTTAAACAGCATCTGGTCTACCTTTTCATAAGAAGTGAATTTTTTGACTTGATGGAGGGGGTTTGAGCTGAGAAGAGGTGTGATAGTGACTTACAGACTTTTAAAACCCTGTTAGGTGAAAGTAACATGAGACTTGTCCTTTTTTGATCCCAGAGGACAAACCTAGGAAAAGTGTCTGAGTCTACAGAAACACGTGTGGTCCTGGGGAAGGGAAGAATTGTCTGGTGCTTAGGGCTGTTTGAAAAAGGTATTTGAAAAGGTATAACTGCAGATTTGTAAATTTGTCCTAGCACTGAGATTGTTTGTTCATTGGCACTTTGTCTGTCATGTTTGTAGTTGGAGGAAATGGCCTGTAAGGAAGGGCCTTTTCAGCTATAAAATTTTAAAATGAGTATACATGTGAGTGAGCCTGGCCTTTGAAAAGCCTCACTGATCTCAGAAATATTTACATCATTAATATCAAGAGGAATGACAAGGTAGATTGAAAAGCTCAAAACCTACTTATTTCCCTCAACCCTGTCTTTCCCAAGCTCTGATTCTTCCTGTCCCAAGGGCCTACTCTAGATGAATTTCTGTGATATTTATTTATTTTTAGCAGTACTGGGGCTTGAGCTCAAGGCCTCACACTCTACCACTTGAGCAACGCCCTCAGCCCCTTTTGCTTTATTTTTTGGTTAGGGTCTCACATTTTTGTCTTGGGCCAGCATTGGACCAGACTTGGACCTTGATCCTCCTTCCTATGCCCCCTCTTAATTGGGATTGCAGTGTGTACCACCATCCCAACTTATTTGTTGAAAAGGGGTCTTGCTAACTGTTTGCCTGGGCTGGCCTCAAATTAACATCCACCCAGTCTCTGCCCTCTTGAGTAGATGGGATTGTAGGTGTGAGCCACTGACCCTGGCTAAATGGATTTTTGTGATTTCTTTTCTTTTTTTTTAGAGGAAGAACAGTGACTTGATAATCGCCTCTTTAAGTGGCTGTTCACCTCTTACATGATCAGTAACTTAGCTTCAGCTTGCTGGCCTGTAGTTCTGATGGATGGGACCCCATTGTGTGGGACCCCATGTGCCACAAGAAGATGAAAAGTGTAGGTCCAGTTTGGGTCTTTGTGATCAAACCTGCACACAGGAACCTGAGCCATCAATTTGGCATCCTGAGTTCAGAGACCACAGTTTGACAATAGTCTTAATACTCCCTAGAGGTCATACCTTAGGAAAGATACTTATACACAAACCCTCAGCTTCCTTTTCTGTTTCAAAGAAAGAAGTATGGAAAAATACTTCTCTTTAGGGAGTCAAAACACTGGATGTATTCATAGTATTTCACCCATGTGCTCCCCCTGGTGGCAATAATGGTGTATTACAGCAGCCAGAGGCCCATGGCAAGGGCTCATATTTCTGCTGTGCATGGAGTCTCTGCTACCTCTAAATGGGATTAAAAGCTAATGATTTTCTCTAAAAATGATTGAATTCTTTCTGTTTCATCTGTCCCCTATCCTTATGTGTCAGTGGAGGAACATGTCGAAAAAAGTGAGTTTTTGCTCTTCCATGAACATTTGAAATCAATGAGACTGCTGCTATTTAAATGCAGAATGATGCCTCAACCTGCAACTCCAACACTCTGCTTGGGTGTGGGTTGGGAGGAACTTTTCAGTTAAAAGGAAAAAGACATTTCAATCTGAACTCAAGAAAAAAACAAGAGTCAACTCACATCACCCCTGAATACTTTTTTCCTCAAAGTTAGGTGATAGAATTGCATCCTATTTTTTCCTGTATTTGAAGCAGTCTTTGTGACTATTTTGCTTTTGTCACATGTCATCAGAAGTACGGTATTCTGGATTTCATTAGGACACTGAGGTGCTCATTCTTTATCATAGCTGTGCAGAAATGGATCAAAGACCAAAACCTGAGCTGTTTCCACCATTTGCTACTATAAGGAGTGCTGCTCTGAGCGTTTTTGTTCAGTTCCTGTTTTTTTCTTACTTTATTTTTAGTTTTTTGAGACAAGGTATCACTGTGTATTCTAGGATGGCCTTGAACTCTGGGTTTTTGGGTTTTGTTTTTTTTTTTTTCGGTACTAGGGCTTGAACTCAGGGCCTCGGGCTTACTAAGCAGGTGCTCTACCACTTGAGCCACTCCACCAGCCCTGGGTTGTTTCTTAGAAGTTAAAGTTTTGGATCAAAAGATGGGAATAGTTTTTATCTTTGTTACCTATTGCTACATTGTTCTCTGGAAATGGTCAAGCCATTTAAAAAATACCTATCCCTTTAAAACTTCCTTTAAGTTCTTCTTACTTTATTAATTAATTTTATTTATTTAATTTTGGATACCAGGGTTTGAACTCAGGGCCTCATGTTTGCTAGGTAGGCGCTCTTATTCCTTTTGCCACTCCCCTAGCCCAGTTCTTATTTTAGCACGAACTTATTACTTAATCCCTAAGTTACTTAATAGTCATCATGGGCTGAGGGTATAGCTCAGTGTTAGGCTTCATGCTTAGCATGTACAAGGTCCTGCATCCCAGCACCAAAAAATTAGTCAGTCAAACATTATAAGGCAATATGGCATGGGGCAGTCATACCTAGGTTTGAACAGTCTTGCTTCATATCAGTCCTAAATTTCAATTTATCTTTTCATTTTTATTGTTTTGTAGTACTAGAGATTGAACGTAGGGCCTTATTCATTCTAGGCAATTACTCTACAACTAAGTTGTATCCTCAGCCCTTTTTAAATTTCATTTTTAATTACCCAGGCTGGCCTTGAACTTGAGATTCTCCTGCCTTAGCCTCCTGAGTAGCTGAGATTGCAGGTGTGAACCACCACACCATTTTATTTTATCTATTTTTTTTTTTTTTTTTTTTGGTGGCACTAGGGTTTGAACTCACTTTTGCTAGGCAGGCACTCTACCACTTGAGCCATTCCACCAGCCTAGACCATTTTAAATTTTTTTAATTTATTTTTGCAGTACTGGGGTTTGAACTCAGGGCCTACACCTTGAGCCACTCCCCCAGCCCTTTTTTGTGTTAGGTATTTTCGAGATGGGGTCTCGCAGAATTAATTGCCCGGGCCTGGCTTCAAACTGCGATCCTCCTAATCTCTGCCTCCTGAGTATCTAGGATTACAGGTATGAGCCACCAGTGCCCGGCTTATTTTTGGTGCTGGGGATCAAACCCAGGACCTCATACATGCTAAGCATGTGTTCTGTCACTGAGTTATACTCCAAGCTGATGACCCTTTTTTTTTTTTTTTTATGGTGCTAGGGAGTGAACCCAGGGAATGTATTGGTCATGTGCTCTACCACTGTGCTACAATCCAAGTCCTCTTTTTTTTTTTTTTCCAGTACTAGGGTTTGAACTCAGGGCCTCATGTTTGCTAGGTAAGTGCTGTACCACTTGAGCCACTTCACCAGCAAGCCCTCAATTTTTAATGATATTGTTTTAAGTATCAATCAGAAAAAAGTAGCAGTCCTGGTATCTGGTGACAACTGTGATTATCATTCACTTAGCTCTTATTTGGGAAGAATCAAAGGCAAAGGGTTCCTCAGGTAGTGTTATTTGGTATAGGTCAGGACTACTTTGGCAAAAAAAAAGTGAATATATTGATTTTGACCTATAGGCTTATAGGCTGCTTCTTGATACCCTAAGTCTTATGTAAATTGTCTTGGATGGGCTCATTCTCTTTTCTGATGTGGAGAGGAAAAGGGAATGCTGACATCCAGACCAGTGTGCTTCAGTGGCCAGCTCCACCCCCACCACCTGTCAATCCCTTCTTCATTCTCTCTTGAGCAGTTCCTGCCTCATGCTGGGGACCGAATCTTGATTACGGGGGCAGCTGACTCCAAGGTGCATGTCCATGACCTGACGGTAAAGGAGACCATCCACATGTTTGGTGATCACACAAACCGAGTGAAACGCATTGCCACAGCACCCATGTGGCCCAACACATTCTGGAGCGCTGCTGAAGATGGGCTTATCCGGTAAGGGTCTGGGCACAGAGTAGCCTGTGCCTCCTCTGCCCTCAGTGCATGGTGGCTCTGCCATCCCATCTGCCTATCTGCTTCCTTCCAAAGGCCTAGGTTTTCATTCCAATAGAGGTCCAGCCTCATTTGTCTGCCCATGGCAGCTGTCTGCGTACAAACTCACCTGGGAATATTTGCTTACCCCACCTACACCCTCTTCCTTCTGTACCCTCCACTGCTCTACCTCCAGGCCTGCTGGCCTTCTCTCACCATCTCAGATGCCCAGGTCTCTGCTATCTCTAGGTATTCACACTCTGTTTCTTCTACCTGGGATTCTCTATCGATGGCTTTTTTCATGTCTCTTTGTCACCTAAGGAGATCAGCTTAAATCACCTTTTCAGAAGCACCTTGTCTGACCATCCTAAAGTAGATAGACCTTATTCTGTTTCAGTTCCTAGTTGTATCCTCTATAATTCTAATTATCATCTGTTATTACTTTGTTTTTACTTGTTGGTTTAATTTTTTGTATGTATCTGCACTGAATAGTAAACTCTGTTAGAGCAACTCCTTGTTATTCTTGGCTGTGTTCGTAGCACAGTGCCTGGCACACAGAAGTACTTGCTTTGCACATTTCTCTTGAACAGTTAGTTGGTCAATGACGAAATGCCTGGGAGAGGGAAAGTCAACCAGAAATGGGAAAGTGGACCAGTCCCCTTTTCTAGTGCCCTGTATTGTTAAATTTGCCTCTATTCCCTTCACTCTAAAATGGTCTTACTGCCCTTTTTTGTTTGTTTGTTTGATTTGGTTCAGTTCGGTTTGGAGGTTTTTTGTTTTTTGTTTTTTGTTTTGTTGAGAAAGGGTCTTGCTATGCAACCCAGGTTGATTTAGAACTCTCAGTCCTCCTCCCTCAGCCTCCTGAGTGCTAGAACTATAGGTGTTTTCCTAGTTCTTTTTTTCTTTTTCTCTTTTTTTTTTTTTTGTGGTGTTGGGAATTAAACCCAGGTCTGTGTACACAATAGACAGGTACTCTACTAATGAACTATGCTGACAACTCTCCCCTCTACCCCAAATTCTTTTTGAGAAGGAGTCTTACTGTGTTGCCCAGGCTGGTCTTGAACTGCTGGGCTCAAGCAATACTCCAATCTCAGCCTCCTGAGTAACTGGGGCTACAGGCATGCACCACCATGCCTAGCTATCATTGCCCTTCTTTAACTGTTTTCTTCAGGTGCGACCTTAGAACTTATCCCTCCTCTAACCCAATCTGTTTCCCTTGAGTTCCTTGGTGCTCTTTTTGTGTTACAGAGGTGAAGCATCTAAGTCTTGTATAAACCATAACTCTGCAGGGCACTGCAGCCAAACAACTGGGGTGAAATCCTAGCTCTCTCTCTGTCATTGTTTGACAGGAAAATCACTTCACCCTGAACCTTAGTCTCCTCATCTGAGCTGAGCATTAAAATTGAGAAAGCACATGTAAAACCTTACCATGGTACTTAGAAGACAAAAAAGCACTTGGTCATTGTTACATCTTGTTGACCTTGACTACCCAGACTGTGTAAGGGCCAGCTGGTAGAAGCTGAGCATCTTGGGCACCAGGTAGGACTCTAAGGACGTAGACATAAGTCACAGTTGGGGAATGTGTCCTAACAGCAAGTGGACATAAGCTGGCACTTCCAGAACAGACAGGATTTGAGTGGATGAGGAAAAGCAGAGTAGAGTGTGTGATGGCAGGGATAAAAGTGGCATGTACAGAGAAAATGTGCTGTAGTTATAATTGACGTGCATTTTGAAAACTGGAGAATAAAAGTTATGTGAAATTGTGTCTTAAAAACCAAACTGCAGAGTGTGGTAAAAGTAAACTTAAGCTAAAAGTGTTGAGGAATTTCTGCAATTTGGAAAGCAAGAAAGTGACATAAAACTATTTTAGGAAGAGCTTTTTGGTCAGAATAACTTAGAAAGACAAGGCAAATGGTGAAGAGATTGTTATAGATGTCTAGGCCAGAGGTGGGTGAGCACATGGGTGATGTCCCTCCCTACTCTCTGAAGACACTTGTATATTGGCAGCAAAAAAAGCTCCCCAGTCTGAAGCCGTGGGAGTTCGCTACTGCTGTTGGGTGTTGTGGTATTTCCTTTACCACACAGCTGAGCCTGTGGGACCAGCCTTGGCCCTTGGTGTTTGTAGGTAGCTCTTACTTGATTGCCATATTATCTTCTCTGTCACGTGTTCTGCTGTTTCTTAAAAGACACTAGATTAGGAAGGAGCAGAGCAAAGTAGTTTAAGTACAGTCTTAGCAAGCTATCCCCAACTCTCCACTTAGTAGCTATGTTATCCTAGGCAGGTTATTTAACTTCTTTGGATCTCAGTACTCTAGTTGTACTAGGGCTGGTATTAGGATTTATTTAAATAATGCATGTAAAACAGCTAGGGACAATACTAGATACCTAGCACATTCTAAGTGTTAGTAATCAGTAGAAGTATATTAGTGGCAATAATTCTGACATCTGTAAAATAAGACAGTAGTTTCTACCCTAAGGGGTTCTGTTAGGATAAAACAGAAGCCTACTACAAGCACCTGGCACCCAGTGGACACTAAAAAATGGGAGTGGTTTTTTTTTTATATTACTTACAAAGGGGTCCAAAGCCCCTCCCAATCCTCTTGCATAACAAGGACTTGGTTTCTCCCCTACTTTCCAAATAAACACCCTACCCCCTAACATTGTCCTCTCTCACAGCCAGTATGACCTTCGGGAGAACAGCAAACACTCGGAGGTGCTGATTGACCTGACAGAGTACTGTGGCCAGCTGGTAGAGGCCAAGTGCCTCACAGTCAATCCCCAGGACAACAACTGCTTGGCGGTAGGGGCCAGTGGGCCCTTTGTGAGGCTCTATGACATTCGCATGATTCATAATCACAGGTATGACCAGCTCAGCCTCCTGTGGGCAAGTCCCTGGGACCTGTGGCCCCTTGCCTCATTGCCATGCACTTTTCTTCTTGAGTGTTTTTAAAATTTTTATGGTTTAAAAAAAAATTAATCTGTACTTATTTTGGAAAAGTATAATAAATTACCCATTACCTAAAAAGAATTTCTACATTGTAATATTTCTTGCTAGCTTTTTCTTACCATGATTATTTGTACAGTCTTATGCATGTAATTTTTTTGTCATGTAATTTATTTCATTCTGCGAAAAATAAGAAAATGTAGAATATACTTAGCACCACAGCCTGGGATTTCCATGCTTCTTGGGACAGATGCAGCAGTGTCTGGCCTCTTTACTTCACTCATGGCTTTGGATGGCCACTCCTGCCCCTCTTCCACATTATCTGATTGGAAATGCACCTTGAGCCTTAGCTTCCTCATCTGTAAAATGAGGATAAATATGCTGGCCATGAAAACCCAGATGGTTTACAGGACTTTCTTGGTAAAGCAATGTAATATGTGTTTCCACAATCACCTAGTCACTGGGCCTCAGGATCCTATCAGGATGAAAAGGCCTCTTGTATCTCTAGGGACACAAACTTGGGCTTCTTCTGTGGAGCATGTTCTGGCTTGCCAGGAACAGTGCCAGAAGTTTGGTTTAGTTTGGTTTGGTTTGGCTTAGTTTTTTGTAGTACTAGGTTTTGAACTCAGGGCCTCACACTTGCTAAGCAGGTACTATACTACTTGAGCTGTGCCCCTAGCCCTTTTTACTTCTGTTATTTTTTTACATATGGTTTCAAGTTTTTTTCCTGAGCCTTGGGCCACGATCCTCCTACCTCTGCCTCCTGCATTGCTGGGATTACAGTATGAACTACCATACCAGGCTTATTCTTTGAGATACGGTCTTTCCAACTTTTTGCCCATACTGGCTTCAAACCACAATCCTTCTATTTCAGCCTCCCAAGTAACTGGGATTACAAATGTGAGTCACTGCACGTAGCAGTGCAAGAATTTTAACCTATCTGATTTTTCTTCCCACCAGAAAGAGCATGAAGCAGAGCCCTTCAGCAGGTGTGCACACATTCTGTGACCGGCAGAAACCCCTTCCAGATGGTGCAGCCCAGTATTATGTGGCAGGTAGGATTCAAACCTGGCTCTGGATCCACTCTTTTCCTAGATACTGGTTCTTTCTGGGGCTGTGCAGGTGGGTGGCACGGCACACTGGTCAAGAGCAAGGGTTTTAGAGTCAGATGGAGCTGGACTTTACTCCTGGCTTGCTAGTAACCAACTGTGTGACCTTCAATATATGACTTAACTTTGAATTTCTTCTCTGTAAGATGGGGCTGTAATGCTTAAGTGAGATAAAACATGTAAACAGCTGGCCCAGTGCCAATGTCAGGGCTCAACACTAATATTATATATCTATAATCATAGCTGCTTCTCTGATGAAGTTGATTGGTGACATTTTCAATATAGCTATCTTCACACAATCTCTTGCCCTTTTGAGGGAGACTGGGAGACTTGCCCTATGGTGACTGGGATGTTTCGTGCAGGTCACCTGCCAGTGAAGCTGCCAGACTATAACAACCGTCTGAGAGTGCTGGTTGCCACCTATGTGACCTTCAGTCCCAATGGCACAGAGCTGCTAGTCAACATGGGAGGGGAGCAGGTATGTTCTGTGATTCTGCCCCCCATCCTGCCCTACTGTTCCATATCCAGTAGCCAAAGCTGTATGCCTTCATCCACTGTCCTGAGGCAGATGGAAGTAACAGCTTCCTTGTAAATGACATTACAGTAAAATGTGGAAGTGACAGGGCATCATAAGAAATCCCAGAGAGACCAGGCACCATTGGCTCACATCTATAATCCTAGCTACTCAGGAGGCAGAGATCAGGAGGATCGCGGTTGGAAGCCACCCAGGCACATAGTTCTGTGAGACCTTATCTTGGAAAACCCTTCACAAAAATAGGGCTGGTGGAGTGGCTCAAGGTGAAGGTCCTGAGTTCAAGCCCCAGTACCACAAAAAAAAGAAAAAGAAATCACACAGAGATGTCCTAGCCTGTTTTGTTTTTCCTCTTCCTTGTTTATCTTTTCTAGTGAACTATAAAGATATATGATAGTAGGATATTTTGGTTAAGAATATAGGTTTTGAAGCCGGGTGCCAGTGGCTCATGCCTATAATCCTAGCTACTCAGGAGGCAGAGATCAGGAGACTCACGGTTCAAAGCCAGCCCAGGCAAATCCTTCAAGAAACCCTATCTCAAAAAACCCTTTTGCAAAAATAGGGTTGGTGGAGTGGCTCAAGGTGAGGGTCCTGAGTTCAAGCCCCAGTACTGCAAAAAAAAAAAAAATATATAT